TTCTGTTTAAGAGTTGTGTACTATTCGCCATATAACAGACATTTATTTCTTTAAAGTTTCAAATAAAATTTTGATAATTTGTGGATAAAAAAATGTTAGCCACCTTTTTGAACAGAATAAGACCCACCTCTCAGATTTTATATGTGGTGTTTTAAAAACACATACCATATACATATACGCATAGGTTACCGCATAACGACGCACTTCCGAAACTAGTTCCGCTATTATACAGAAAAAGTAAACACTTTTTTAACTTTTTCATTCAGATTTAAGTGCTACATTACATTGCAAATATTTTTTTTGTATAATATTATATATGACGAAATTCAATAGTTTTGGACGTAACAACATTTGAATATAGGAACTAAATAAAAGTAAACTTTATTACATGTTACTTTTTTTTCTAAAATAAACGATATAATTTTAAGGGAATATTAAAACAAATGTTTCCTTTATTGTTTTTGTTCTGTTCTGTTCTAAAATGATATCGTTTATTGCAGTAGAAAAAATAATAATCAACTTTACTTTTGTTTCGTTCCCATCTTCAAATGTCGTATGTCCAAAACTATTGAATTGGGTCACATAGTATGTTACACAAAAAATGCTTCGAATTCAATGTAGAATCCTGAATCTGGATTAAAAAGTAGGCTATTCCATTTAGAAAAAGACTGTCATAACTTTATTTTGAGCTACCAAGTGACAGAAACAAATACTTTGGCGACAACCACAATACTTTTATATTAATATTTTTTCACTCACTATTTCAGTACGATCTAAGAAGGGGCCTCTCTTCGCTGGCTCGCCCTGTATATTTGATAATATATGATGATATGCTAAAATTTCTCTAATGTAACAGCAGGTACATAGTTTTTAATTTAATAAAGTTTGAAACTAAATATTTCACGTTTAAGTAGAAAATAGCCCATGAAAATGAATCCAGTAAGTATGTTAAAATATTTTAATTATATATTCGCCCATTACCTACCAATTGTTATAAATTTCATGTATTTCGAACACATGCATTAAAATAAAATTAGCCTATTATTTGAAAATTCATGTTGCGGTCCAATATAACTGTTAATAAAATCACTGTAAATACATAAATTAACAGATGTTAAATATGGTCTAGCCTATTTAACTATACTTAACATCCACTTGGCTACATTAAAGTTAATATAATTTAAAACACATAAGTCCAAGTTAAAACAAAAACGTATATAAGAGTTTGTAGTCTGAACGCATAGCATTAATATCATCAGTGATAAACAAAGTACCTGTATAATAAGTGTATGAAAATTACACACGAATAACCGAACTAGATTTTGAATATAAAAATATGTATATTTTTACACTATTTCTTTCCAGCTTTTCATAAAAAAAACTTCTAAAATAGAGGCGTGTTTTGACTTCAATATCTGAGTGTTATAGTACAGAACTTAGAATTATATACGATTATATATCGCAAATTAGATAAAGTTTAGTATATTATACTTAATAAATAAATATACAGTGTGTCTATTGAATTTCGTACTATCTGGGAAACTTTGTTAAATATTACTAATTTTACGAAAAAAATAATTAATTTTTGATAAAAAGTTCTGCTTGGTCCAAAACCTAAAATGCAACTAAGATATTAACTTTTTTCGTTGTCGTATACGAGGAATGAGTTTTGCTCGAGAATAAAGTAGGTTTTTACATTATTTTCGACAATATCGAAAATTGTCATTAAGAAAAGGCAATTTAAAAACTATCATCGTATTGTCAATTTTAGAACATGCAAAACTATTTAAAAAGAGTAACTTTTCTTAATTATTATATGAAACGATTTATAAACTTTTCAGACACTATTGCCCATTGAAATTCCATTCATTGGTTAGACATGAAGTGTGAGAGAGGGAAACTCAATTTTGTGCTATTGGTTCAACCGGCTACCTGCTCAATGTCAAAATAAAATGGTAGTTTAGGGCGAGCGGTTTGGTAATTTTGGTAACAGGTAGAAACGAAACCCAAAAGGTTTTAAAAATGATGCCGAATTGGCGATTGGTACAGTCTGTAATACAATTATCTGGCTATGGCAGATAAAAATATCATCATTATTTAATTCGTTCCAATCACATGTATAGGTTTATAGCTAAATAGAAAAATGTGTAATTAAATATTATCTTTATATTATGTTATATCAATAGAAAACCTTTCCAGAGTATTCAACTGCAGTCCTTGTAGAAACCACATATACCTTCCGTAGAGTAGGTATAAATGAAATAAACAAGTCGAATATAGGTAGGTACCAAAAACATTTCTACAAAAACATAATTTATTAAAAGTCCCGCTAAAAGTGTCTACATTTCAGCAAAAGACGAAAAGTTACATTCAAAATAATTATCAAGACGCTGTGAAGTTAGTTCAAAAGTAAGGCTAGCGGTAGACGCATGTTTGTAAACCTGATCTGAATATGCTAGAAATGTGCTACGTTTTACGACAGGTAGGAGATCGGTCAAGTTCAACCCCGTATATAGAGTTTACGGTAGTAAGTATAAAATTTTGTAAAAATTTCAAATACGGACCTGTAAAATGAATATTAATTCAACAATGTCCGTTTACCTGAAGTAATTTAGGTAATGTGTTATTAGGTTAGTATTATTAGAGCCTTATTGTGATAAATTTTTTAACACATGGAACACTTGGAAAAAGTTCTGAAATGACTCATGTTTATTGTTAACAAGGTTTAACGGTTAATGCAGGAATAATTGCACCCGCCGATCTTGTATGCCCTTTCGATCTGGACATCCGAATTATGAGGTTGGAATTTGACCCACCCTGCACCCTAATTTATTTCAGAGCTACTGAGTCGATGCTCAGCGCAGTGATCGCAGAATTGAGTGATCAATGTTGCGCAGACCAAAAATATTTAATATTACTTTGCATTGGTGGTCCAATGGAGTTAGCAAGCCGTCAAAGTTAGGATTTCAATTACCTTATCGTGATTCCAGCATTCTCAGAATCGTAGGAACTGCTGAAAATGCTAGAGCCTTCCAGCTCCGGATTGCTACCTGCCATATTGAAACTGGGGTTTGTAGCAAATGTAGTAGCGAAACCGCGATCCAATACACGCACAGAGAACAACTTTACAGCAATTGCATGTTGGCGGTTTAACTGACAAAAATTACAGGTTCGCAGTACACCCAACTATGATCCATAGTGCACTGCAGTATTAAAGCTCTATGAGATACAAAATCAAAATATTTTAATTTTCTAATTTACTTTCATAAATGCTTCCTAATAGAAAGCAAAATATTAATAAACAATATAGGACATGCGCTTTAATTTATTTGAATATAGAATATAATAGCATAATTTCATGACCTTGTTGAGTACTGACAACACTGTTTAGGTTCGAAAGTGGGGTTAAATCACAAATTAATGATAATAAACATTCAATTCAATGTAATATTGAGAGTCAAGTTTTCAGCCACCAATTTTCACACTAAATTGAGCGCATGTCTCGCGCAATGAAACCGAAGTACCTGTTTTTCGAACGTACGCCGATTTATACGCAGATGTTCTTTGCAATGAGGTCCTGTTATTTAACTTTGCCTGTTCCTTCAGAAAGTCTATGAAGATGCATTATTGATTTTTTTTTAGAATGGAAATGTCCTAGCAACGAAGGGACTATAACAATCAGTCGCTTACCGATAACCCGGAAAAACCGAAGAATTGTCTGGGGCATTACTTTATGGTCTTAAACTATCAGAAATATAGGTACGCTGCTAATTCTTTTTTTGTGTTGTTTAGCTCTATAAATAAATAAAAACTCCACATAGTAAGGTAATTAAAGTTTTTAAGCAAAATACATACTTTAATTAGGTGGATTATTTTAATATGATGTTTATGTAGTTAAGAAATGCGATTTTATTTTAATGACTATCATAATAGGATCCGAGATATTAAGAAATATACAACAAATATCGCATAGGTGATTGTTAAATAATTAGCAAAGACAAATAAGCTACTATTAAATAAGTTCAGGTTTTCTAATCATTCATTTTGATGCAAACGATATCATATATTCCGAGAGGTGTGAAAGAATGACTTGTTTTATTTCGCCTAGGAAATTATCACTACAACCATGTAATTATGTAAATACAAATTTTGCCTGGCTGATAATAATTCAATTATTATAAAACCGAAGTTTGATTAGAAAGAGCGAGAAACAGTTTCATAATATAACAGAAATTCTATAGAACATTATTTACAGACATAAGTGTAAATACTCAAGAATAAGAGAAAATATTTATGTGTAATAAATGTGTTTCAAGTGTCTGTAATTTAGCAAATACACGATATAAATATTATTAATTCATTAATTTGTCACCTAATGTGAATCATTTAATTTAAAATACCTGTTACTATCACGGTAAGTTGTAATACAAAATTCGAATACTTTAAACAGCAATCAACATTATTTAATTAGTTCACCGTCCTTGAATCTGTGCGAATATTTTCATCTAATTTTCTAAACAATTTAATGAATGTACAAAGTTTATTTTTACGGAAATAAAGAATTTTCTACATTTCTAAATTAAAAAGTTTCAACACCCTCAAATTGCAGGTAATAACAGTCGAATTGGCATTGTATTTGAAAAACAGTGTTTTGTTGTGGTCAGTTACTTTCTGACTTATTACCTATTAATCCTTTCATACCCAACTAACTAAATCGTCAAACTTATAGAACAAAGTCATTAGTATTTCATAGTAGGTACTATTAGTAATTATAGTTCCCGTTCTTTGAGTAGTTAAACTAAAAAGTACTGAAAAAATACTGTCTAATATTAATGGAGAACTTCTCATGTTCCTTATGATATATTTATGAATAACGAACCCTTTTTTGTAATAAGGTCTTAATATAGAATATTATTTAGTGGGTGTTTCTGCGACACACTTAAGGTCAGGTTTGGACACTCTCAGGAGGGCACTGAAAGGGGTGTCTTAAAAGCCAGTCCTCCAAATAGAACGTATTTATTTTTAATTAATTATAGTGTGTCGCGCTTTCTGAACAAATGTTTCTGAACAATCGTAATATTTCTTTAATGGAAATTACATTTCTGAAATTTCTACATACTCAGGAATGGAAAACATCAGACATATTTATCTTATATAATTTATTTTCTTTTTCGTTTCTATGATCGGTAACCCTGCACTAGTATTATCTCATTAAAAAGTACTTTTGACGTGCAATATAACACTATCAATTAATATATCATTTGCAGTTTTTAAATTGTAAAATACATTACAAAAATTGAATAGACAATGCCAGATATGAAAACCAGTATGATACAGTCCAAATACAAAAAAACAGGTTTTAAAATTTGCTGAACAAAAGACGAAAATTGAACAGACGTAAAAGCTTAAAAATTTAATTATTAAAACTAAATAATTAATATCTACTAGTCTGCATTCCTAACGATTTTCAACTTCAATTCTATTCAATAATTCTATAATATTCATGAATTGTAAACCAAATGCTTTCCAGGAATATGTGGCTTATAAAGGGTAGTGTATTATTTCAATCAATGATTTATGATTTAGTTTTATATTTAGTAAACAAATTCGACTCAATTGAGTTTGACAATTTAGTTATAAATGCATTTTGACAAAGTGTAACACCGTGTTAACACACAACAGTGTTAATGAATTATGTGATACGAACGATGATTCTAAATTTATAATAATTAGCTTTCTAACTAGGTCAGTGTTGTGGTTCTTGAAGTTCATATTTTACGGGTACAAGCCACAGCCGTGGCGATGGACTACTTAGATTGCTTTTTCTCAGGAACCGTCCTAGATTTTCAAATATTCCTAAAGCCACTGCAAAATGGTGTAATCTGATTAAATACAATTAATTTATACTTATGTACGTCTTTATTATAATGATTGCCATACCTTAAGAAAACTCAAGCGGTTTCTACGTTGTGATGCAAAATTGTTAAGAGTACTTATTTGCGACCCCTCAAATCCATATCAAGACCGAGAACAGTATCAAACTCAGCTAGAACTACAAAAAACAATAAAAATACTTAAAGGTAAAACTAATTGATTTTGTGGACAAATGGCAAATGCGACGAAAAATAATTAATTATCGCTTACACTGCGAACTGCAATCCACCTGCTGAATTCTGCCAAGTTACCAACTAAATTTACGTCAAAGCTAACATTACGTTACATTCACCTTACTTAACTATATTTAATTTAAATTGGTATACTTTGCAGTCACATCAAAGTTGCGTACTTTTTACTGACCCTATATATATATTGAATGAATAGAAAGTTCTTCCTGTAAAAGTTGGTACAGTTTGATGATAGTTGTAATTTATCAAAACTTTTGTAGCGAAATACTCAACCAAAAGGCTTGTAAAAATTCCCAGCAAATATCACTCGAATAAACTGTTAAGAAATTAATTGGGTAAAATAATAACAAATTCAGCATTAAAATAATTTTCAGTTGCGCCAAAATTGTTCAAGTCATTATCGAGTATTGCATCGCCATCGAAGTTGAATTTGTACCTATAAAATAGGTAGGTATATAAAACTTTTGTGTAAATGTTTTTAAAAAAATATTTATTTAAATGAATATTGAAGCAATGTTCTAAAACTGTATACTGCTCTGATAGTTTTTGTAATTTACCAACAATTATCCAGTTGAACAAAGTTTTTAGATAACTAATGCGCTTATTTAAAAAATACCAGCTGAATATATTTTTGAACGGCAAATCAAAACTAACTGAAAAACTACTTTTCGTGTTTATGGATTTACGAGAATGTAGGCCCAGTTTTAAGCATCAAACGAATTCAAGAAATCTAAAATGTACTTTGTCTGTCCATTAGCTGTCCAACTACTTCCCTGAACTCTATAATTATTCATAACAATAGAAATTAAAATTATATAATTTTGGAACATTACCCCAACATATATTTCAGAAATGATTTACACAAAAATTTCATTGAGTCCTATTTTGAATCCAATTTTTATTTCTTTGTTTATCTGTACTCGATAGTGACTCAATAATTCTGGAAAAACCAGAAATATTTTTTGTAAGTTTTTTTTTTGATTTAGCCCGATTTATTATTTTTTTAATTTAATCGATATTTGGTTGGGATATTAAAAATACTTTTTTTGTGACAGTATCTATTATCTACCTACTTTTTATTAGCATAACTTTCACGTATTCTTCTTAATATGTTGCTTTTCAACTTCAACTTTCACATTTTCCATTAAAATTGTTAATAATAAAATTAAGTTAATAAGGTGAAATATGCAAAATCGGCAGCCTAACCAGCCCCGATGTAACGCCTGGGAAGTTTTGATTATTTTTTCACAATTTTTGCCAACTCATAACAATTTTGCATCACCGCGCAGAATCCGATTGCCTTTTCATAAGCTGTGTCATCATTGTCAATGTTAAAATTGCCTGCGGTACCCGTAAGTTATTCGTTCGTTGCTGGCCGAGTTTCACAACATTTGCAGATCTGTTCTAACGATGGATTCTCAAAATTCTTCCCCTAATCAGTAAGTTAAGTCTTCTAATAACGTCATAAATAGTATCAATCATCCATAACAAGTATATAAAGAAAATAAGGGTTCATCACCCTTTAGGCCCTATAACCTAATAATGTTTTTGCATAATCACCTTCTTTATTAAAGATTATATTTTACATTAACTGGATTTAATTATTTCAGATCTGAGGGAAATCCGGCAGAAAGTACTACTCACAGCGGACAAAGCAATGTAATCCAGTACTGGTCTTACAGAAGATACACAATCTTGAAATGGATGCACCAAAACTTCAAGGTAGTGAACGATAAACTGATTCCTAAGAAAAAGCAAATGTAGTCGACCTTCAAGAACCAACCCATTTAGTTGCTTCAAATCATTTTTTAAACCTCTTCTTATACTTAATCAGCCATAATATGCCATGTTAGAAATTTTTCTTATCCATAGATTATTAAATATGTGAAAATGTATTTATAAATAAATGTTCAAACCCAATTACTCCAATTTATTTGCTAATAATAGACACTGGAAGGTAACTTGAATACTAATAATAATGAAACATCTTTATTTTGAAAGTATGAGGATATACATACAACAAAATAACATCAGGATATAACAAGGACTTAACGATTGTTTACTGCCACATAAAATTCCTGCATTGAATATGGTTCTGTTTCTAAGAGTTGTCGTATCGGTAAAGGCCCGATTACTGGAAAACAATTCGGCTGATAAATATATGCGTGCAAAGCAGGAGCGCACGTGTTTTGCAGGGGAATCC